CTACTATCAACCTTTGGTAAAATTTAATTTAAGAATTGTGATACTAAGAGGTTTGTCAAGACAGATGACTTGAAATAATATATCAAAATATATTCTGTTGTCAGAAGAAACTTTCATTACCTCGGTCACCGATACAATTTTTTTAAATAAAGAAGTGATATATGCTGAACTGTATATCTATAAATTCCAATATATACAACACCTGTTGTTCCAAAGTATTCAGTTCTATATTTGGAACGCTAAGTAGTATAAACGGCATTCATATCACATCACAGCGAAAATGTATTACCAGTTTCTTTTCGTAGTATACGAAATAACAAAGTATAAAAGTCCCTCATTCTGTGAAACGACTCATGTTCCCCCAGCTTGATAAAAGAACACGGTAAACAAAGTGCGGCTCGCAATTTTGTCACCGAGACGACCGTCAGTCAGGTTCACAGAAAGGTACAGGACGCTCCTGGTGAACGCTATCCATAAAAGTCAATGGCCGGCTGTTCTTCCCGCGTTGTTGTCTCTCGCAAATGCCAGATAAATGGCTCTCTGGGGTCTCAGCGACACCCACTAATACTAATACCCGCCTCGGACTCGCCTGCCCCGGGAAATTGTATCTACATCCTTCTGTTTACTTGTATTTGCAGCAGACAGGTCAGCCGATATCAATATAAGATACTAGACGGCGTAGACCGTCGCGTCGAATCCCGCAACGGTACAACTTTTTCCGTGAGCTTGTGCTAATATCGAATATAGTTGACTTATGGTATGGAGTATCCTGCGTTCGCCAGGACCTTTTGACCAGCATCGCGAAACTAGAGCGAAAAGGGCTGCCCCCTTGAAACCAGTCCGGAGGGGTGGCTTCAGAACGGAAAGGAGTCCTCGAGGTCGCGTGTGACTCGCATGCGAATGGAAAGAGATACAATGGACAAGTAATTTTATTCGATGACCGCCTCGGACGTGGGACATATTGGATTCTTCTTGGGCGGAGGCGTCCCGCGGAAAGGACGGTTCGCTCGTTCTAATCGTTGTCCACCCTCTTGTGTCGCGGAAGGAGTGTTTCCTTCGACAGATGGTAAGGTTTGCTCGAATTTTTTTCCAATTATTGGCCCGAGGGGATTTTAAGGAAATGGACGCCGTGGTTGTTCAGCGAAACCGAATACTCTGGTTACTCCGTTCGATATCGTGTTAAATATTATGAAGCGCACGTCGTAAAATAAAACATCGGACGTCCGCTCTAAACTGAAATATTTGTATTGTAGTAAAACCCGGCGGCGACTTTCCTTTCATAGGACTTTTATAGGTCATATGCGTGCTATAGAGTTGTTCCGTTAAAAGTATTGTCCGTCGGGTCTTTATATTTTTTTCATCATTGTTACCCTTGCATTTTGATCGCAATTACTTCGCAAAGATTGTATCTACGTATGTGCATCGTATGGATCTCGACGCTATGTTTTTTAGGAAAATTTTAAATGCAAATCTGCGCGGTCGATTTTTTCCAAAAATATTCATAATCGTTGCCGGAGCTTTTACCAAAGAATAACGTTTGCGCGGCGTGTATTTGAAAACGTGTTCAGCGAACAAAGGGGGCGAAATTAATTTCCGCTTTGATCGCAGCGACATTGGCATAAACCTCGCTAACGTTTATTCCGTTTAATTGCAATCCTCTGAATTTAAATACAATGAAAATTTATAATTGATTAAAAGAGCGTTGCGAAAACGTGAGATTTGATTGTACTCTAAAGGGATTTCAAATAGTATTGCAACACGGGAACGATGGTCAATGCGTGTCTCGCGGCGCGGCAGTTCGAATCGTCGGACTTCACCCTTCAGATCCATTTCTGACGGAACGTGGGGGATGCTTCCACGTGGAATGTCAACTGGTCTCTCGAGATTTCCACAGATCGCTCGGCATTCGGCTGTATCCACTCCTAGCGCGCTTCAACCGGGCATAAATCGTCGCGATAGCCAGTGTTACGGCTCGTACGAGGTGTTTGTCACGTTGAACCGTTTTTCTCTGGACGTTATTTAGGGACTTTTCTTCTGGAAGCTTCGTCCCCTCTCGGTAATTTCCTTGAAACGATATCCGCTTACCATAAAATCTATGGAAGTGCCTGTTTTCCTAAAGAGTTCTGATCTCAAGGATATCTCCAGATATTGGAACATTTTGCTTTCGTGTCGGTATATGGGCATTAATATTTGTAATACAATAAAAGGACAAAGTTCGTTGTAAATAATGTCAATGACGAAAGTATTCATCTTAAAGTTGTATGAGCGCTTAAATAAAAACAATGACAGCATTTGATTGAATTGAGCATTGAAATTTTAATACTTATTAGATATTATGAAGAAATGTAGATACGACAATAACAGAACTATGTAATTTTTTATAATTGTTAATGTATGCTTTAAGAATATTTTATAGATGAAACAATATTAACTTTTAGGATATTACTTAAAATATACAATAAAAAATGAGCAAAAGCAAGGATTGTAAGACTTGTAGCAATGTAAACAGTTCTAAGTTAGGTACAATTCTATAAAAAAAGTGTGAAAACTATATATTAGAATATTAGAAACGTAAGAAGACAAGTCCAACAATTTTCTAATCTTTACTTCTCTGTGAATATCGTTTTTCCTAAGTTCTTATCGCTTCAAAAAGCTACATTCGACATAGTCTTTTATCACATTTCTTAAACTTCTGTCAGTGATCTTACGACTCTAATGGACTTATTTAAAATTAA